TTAAATTTAATTTTTTTTTTGTGTTTAATAGTACATTGAATGTAATTTCTAATTAATACTAAACTTAATATTATAAAAATTTGAATTAAAAATAACTTCAGCCAATCATCATTAACTAAACCAGACACATTTTGGGACAGGTGGAGTAAAAATAAATAAATAAAATGATGGGTTAACTTATATCTACTTGACACCACTCAGAGGGAGAAAGAGAGAACTGAGCATGAGATAAAATTTGAATATTTTCTGCAAAAATGAGCCATTATTTCTTTGATTAAAATGAATACTTTTCACTAACTTCATTTTCTGTCGATAACCAAACACTAAAAAAAATCCAAAAAAAAAAAAAAAAAAAAAACTTTAGAAAGTCATTTTTCATATTTTCAAACGAACATACACTTAAGTATAAATTCAATCACCCATTTTTATTTTTATGCAATGGACGACGAACGAGATTAATTGTTTAAAAAAAAAGGAGATTAATTCACATTTTTCTCAAAGGAATCATCTTTACTTCAGTGCAAAATTAGAGTATCTATCCGTGCAAGTGTGTAGCTACTGCAAACTGGTTTGCTGAATGGTTGAAGGTAGAATTGTCCTGTTTGGTTTGCTGCTCCGATCCATAGATATATGATTCACTTATTGGACCACGAGCTGAGGGAGGGAGGGCCATGTCTACATACACTTTGCTTTAGAGCAAAAAAGACGTAGGATTGCGTACTACGTACAACATGCATTATCGTACCAGATTATTGTATTCTTCGTTGCAGTCAAAGGAACGTAACAGTGTTTCTACGTACCTTGCCACTGGTGACATTATGGGTGACACAATGTGATTTAATGTGACATTTGTTTAATTATATTGTGTACGTAAGTACATACATTCATAGCTGGAAAACTTAATATTAGGGTACTCTAAATAATTATACCTATTTAAATAATCAGAGTTTGTTTATGAGCTGTTTCGTTTATTATTTTTATTATTATTATTATTATTATTATTATTGCACGGCTTTCGTCACGTTACCTTGTTGCTTTCTTTTGTTCCAAAACCGATTAAGGGCCAAGAATCTTATTTATTCTATCTAGTATGAACTATATAATCCGATCGAGAAATAAGTTTATCTTTTACTTAGTATGCTTTACACTTGGTCATTTTTTTTTAGACATATATGATGATTACAGCCTTTCAAACTAATTTATGCAGTTAGGCTCCCATATAATAACCTATAGCTCTAAGTTGAGCCGTATTAACGTATGTCAAAAAAAAAAAAAAAAAAAAACTTTTTAATGGCCAAAATCTCCTTCAAAGTCTTAAATTTGACTATCTCTTATAGTTGTCTATTGGCTTTTTCAGTTTGAGCCATTGAGATTTGAGCAACCTAAGTTGATTTGTCCACTTTCATGTGGTCTTTTGCCAACTATAGTTACAAAACAAACTTCACTCAGAACCCACGTATATGGTAGCTATTACGGGCTTTTCCATAAATCAAAGAATCTCATTCGAAGTCTTGTTTTTAATTATTGTGCCAATGACAACTATCTAGAACCAACAACAACAACAACAATAATAATAAATACTCTTGCCATCAAACCTAATTCAACATCTAGCCATTGAGCTGTGATACTAAAATAAAGTTGCTACAAATAATAATAAATACTGTTGTTATAATTTTGACATAACGGTGAATATTTGATCCTACAAATAATATTCTATAATAAATATTCTTGTTATAATAAATACTCTTGCTAATTAAGGAGGTCATTGACATTTGAGACAATTATTTCTCCTAGAAAGAAAATAATAATAATAAAGGAAAGTGTACCAAACCCCATTTTGGAAAATGATTCTTTTGTGTTTTCCTTGGAAATTAAATTTGAATAAATTTTATTGGAGAATAGTTTTTACCTTTTTCTTCCTGGAACAGCCACGTTCAAATGTTCATGTTGGAATAGAACTGTAGGTGGGGAATGGTTAGGAATTTCAACTTGAGAATAGTTTTTTTTTTTTCTTTTATTTTTTTACCTCTGTGAAACATGATGGCCCACTTTGTGTAAGTGCACAGACAATAATTTTATTGGGGGAATATGAGTAGAAATTACTATGCAGAATGGCAGTTCGTTTTCCACAGTGGTTACTCAAGTAATAAATGAAAATCAGAAATTTTTCCTGGGACTGAAATGAGTGCTGCAGTGTCAGAATAGTAGATGATGAATAAACAAAAAAAAAAAAAAATCATATACATATATATATATATATATATATATATATATATATATATATATATACACACATTAGTGTAGTATGGTCTTCTGAGTAATTATTCACACTAGACTCAAGTAGCAATATCAAATATTTTGATTATTTCTACTTATTTTTCATATATGTAATATCACAATCGTAAATCAAATTTCAATCACTAAATTAATTAATCTCAAAAGAAGTATATACAATAGGCTTGGATGAGTGGAATGAAAGGACCCACTCATCACTCGTGATGGTGGGAATAGAATTTATGCTCGATCTACTATACATAGTAAACTAAATGTTAGGTTAAGAAATGTTTAGAATCCTAATATAATAAATATAGAGTGATATTACACTTATTTTTATCAAATAGAGGAAAGAAACTTGTAAAAACAAACTAGCTATCAGTTCACAGAACACATTTTTGACAAGAGATACATACCCTATCTTTATTTTTATTTTTATTCTCAGCTAACACAATGTTTTAAATCGTAATACCCTAACAAAGAGTAATAATACTAAACATTTTTCTTTTTTTCTTTATTGGATCCAAGGAAATAGAGAAACCCACACAAACAAACTAGCTATCAGCTATTCGAACATATTTGTGACAGCAGGAGAAACTATACATACTCTATCTTTATTCTATTTTTACTCTCCGCTAACACAACTCAGGTTGTTGGCCCAACACAAAGTAAGGCTACAATTAAATTTCTTTTCCTATATTTATTTTCTTAAAATAATCATCAAATGGAGACATATGGTGTAAGGGCAGTGGATTTTAGTAGATTTTTATCCAACCAAAAAATTATGTGTTGAGTTTTTAACTAATGGGAGAATGAATTTTTTTACCAGCAAATTTAATTTTTTGTGGGACGTACAGTTGGAGAAAACAAATACAGCATGAAGCTTTGTTCTGCACGTTTGGTGCACTATTTTTTTTTTTTTTTTTTTTGTGTCCGTCTCTGTTTTTTCTTTCTTTCTTTTTTCTCTCTTCTCTTCTCTCTAGAAAATCAACAAAAACTACATACTATTGAGGTTCCTCTAAGAGTGCACCGAACATTTTTTTTAATGAAAATATTAAGGTAGACACATACAAGTAGGGGTGGGCACTTCGGTTCGGTTTATCCGAACCGATCCGAACCAAACTAGTAATAGAAAATCGAATGGTTCGGGATTTTGTAACTCGAATGGTTTAGTACCGAAATCGAACGGTTTGGCAAAAACCGAACCGAACCAAATGCTATATAATAATAATAATAATAATAATAATAATAATAATAATAATAATAATAATAATAATAATAATAATAATAATAATAATAATAATAATAATAATAATAATAATAATAATAATAATAATAATAATAATAAAGAAGTAAATCCAAGTTCCTTGATGCATGTTGCGCCATTCAGTTCTCATTCTTACTAGTACCGAACTTTAAATTTTTTATTTGATTTATTTAAAGCTTGTTTTCTACATTGTACTTTTGTTGTTTGTCGCAATTATTCTTTACCTCGCAATTATATCTAACTTGAGTTATATTTACAATATTCAGTATTTTCCTTAGTTTCATGTTTTTTTTTTATAAATTTAATGTGCTTTACGGTCATTCTAATTTTGATTTCCAGCGCACTATAATTATTTTATAGTACTGGAATATATTTCAAGTGCACTAGCAATGACAGATTGTGTCCAAAAATTAACTATATAGTAATTGAAACTTGTTCTTTTAATATCAACTATACAGATAGATGATTATTCATCTTATCAATAAAAATATTCCAACTGAACCAACTGAAGAGTCGGTTGTGCAAAAACGTTAACTGATGTTTGGTAATTAGTACTTAGTATTGTGTTTGAACTTTGGATTGCTATTTTGTTATATAATGTTTAGAGTTTGAATTTGAATTATGTGAATATGTATTGTTTGGTAGTATGTTCAAAAAATTAAGAAATGTTGAAATTTGGGGATCTTAAACCGAATCGAACACCGAACCGAATTAAATTCGAATCGAAACCGAACCCTAATGTTAAACCGAATGGTTTAACTTTTTTAAAACCGAAAAATCGAAACCGAAAAAAACCGAACCGAAACCCGAAACGCCCACCCCTACATACAAGTACAAGGGTAAAACGGGACAAGAAAAACATTCATTATTTTGTGGACTATAAATAAAAAGTACATTATTTATATACATAAAGTACATTATTTTGTATACTATCAAATAATGTACATTTAGTACACAAATAATGTAGTTTTAGTATATTAGAAATGTTTCTTGTATTTAGACAAAGGACATTATTTTTGGTTAGACCATGAGATGTCTTGAGCAGGTCCTAACGGTAGGAGGTACCTTTAAACCCATACCATACTCAGACTAGTCTCTATTCGCACCAGGCCCGACCCATTTAAAGGGCAAAGTGCTAGTCCAATTAAAAAAAATACATTATTTGAGTACTAAAAATACATTATCTTATATAATATATATTCACCACATAAATAATGTACTTTTAATATATTAAAAATGTATTTTTTTTATAGTTCATACATTACTGTATGAACTATAATCTACACAACACTTGTCTAGACTATATAATCCACACGACACTATGTGATTTATGGTTCACATAATAATTTTTGCCCAAGAAAAAAGAGTGGGCCTACAAAACTTGATTTTGGTAAAATTTTGAAAGAGATGTATAAATAAATATAATATAATGTGAAAATTAATGAGGGGTGGTGGCCTTATATAAGCCAAGTAAAGGGTGTTGGGTTTTTGCTTCTTTTAAAGACAGAACAACACCATCAAATTAAAAATAAAAAAATAAAAAAATACCAATAGTAATAATATAGAACCCAAAATTTGGTCTCTGAAAAGGAAAAAAAATGGAAGAACAGCTCAGCTCCTTAGCTGTTACTCATCTTCTTCAACACACCCTAAGAAGCCTTTGCATCCATGAAAACTCTCAGTGGGTTTACGCCGTTTTCTGGAGGATTTTGCCCAGAAATTATCCCCCTCCCAAGTATATATATCTCTCTATTATCTATCTTCTTTAATTTCTGCAACTTTTTTTTTTTATATATATATTTTCTGACTGCAAATAAAAATCTCTTCTCTTTCTCTCTCTGGTTCTTTAATGGTGTTTGGTAGGTGGGACAGCCAAGGAAGTGCGTATGACAGGTCAAGAGGCAACAGAAGAAACTGGTAAAAACATCATCGTCGTCGTCATCATAATGTATGATGGATCGGAGGATTAATTAGTGTTTCTGATCTTTTTTTTTTTTCTTGTTTGTTTTAATAATGTTTTAGGATACTGGTTTGGGAAGATGGGTTTTGCAACTTTGCGGCGTCGACGTCGGCGGCGGCGGGGGAGATGAATGCCGAAGAATGTCCGGCGGGTTCATCGTCGGCGTACGATTACCAGCAGTACCAAGGGCTGCAGCCGGAGCTCTTCTTCAAGATGTCCCACGAAATCTACAACTATGGTGAAGGGTAAGAAGATCAAGAAAAAAAAATATATAATGTAAAATTTGTAGTGTATCTTTTTGGGCAGAGGTTGGTGAAGGGTTAAGTACGTACTGTCTTACACATTAGGTGGTTTGTTGGGCGGAGGTTTTAGAATGTCTTGTTTTTCGAAAATGTGGTGGTATAAGGAAATAAAATACACTTTTAACTTTTACTACTAATTATAGTTTTTTGGCAATGATAAATGTTTGATCCTAACAAGTAGTATTAAAGTTGGAGTGGCTGGAAAATTGTTGGGCTAAGAGGCCTTTAAGGGCCAAGTTTAGCACCAAATAGATAGGGGATTGTTGGGAGGGGCCTTGAAACGTCGAGTCTAACACCATACCTCTCGAAAAGCGTTTTAATGATTTGTTTTTGTTGGTGAACAACAATTAATTTGCAGTATAATTGGAAAAGTAGCAGCAGATCACAGCCATAAATGGATCTATAAAGAGCCAAATGATCAAGAAATCAACTTCTTGTCTGCATGGCATAACTCTGCTGACTCTGTAAGCAAACATGCCACCATTATTAATCCTACAATAATAATAGCTTTAACATTTCATGTTTTTGTTCCTTAACAAAATGCTAAATCCTTAAATTTCTGTCTTTTTTTTTTTTTTTTTTTTTTTTTTTACAGCATCCAAGGACCTGGGAAGCGCAGTTTCAATCTGGTATTAAGGTTTGTGTTCATAAAACTAATTAACCAAATACCAACTTTAATAATATGCTTTTTTTTTTTTTCTAAAAAATATATTTTATTTCAGACCATAGCTTTGATTGCTGTTAGAGAAGGTGTTATTCAGTTGGGAGCTATTCATAAGGTCATCCTTCTCTCTCACTCATCATCATACCCAGTACTTGCAACTCTACAGTTTTTTTTTTATTTTTTTATTTTTTTTTTTATAAATATATTCCCTCTATCCCATTTCTCAAATCAACTATTTTCTTTATGGTTATTTTTTTAATAATTTTAAATTTAATTTTTGTATTTAATAATATTTTTAATGTAATTTCTAAATATATAAATTTTATATATTTACACTAAATTTAATATTATATAAAATTAAATTAAAAATAAATTTAATCCAATCTTAACTGAACCAAACACATCAAATGACACATGGATATAAATTTTCTAATGTTATTTAATTTAGTTAAAAAACAAAAACATAGTACTTACTTAGTACTATTGCTAACGTGATTATGATATAATTTCTTCCGTAATCTTTGTCTCTTTTTAAATATGTAATCAATAACACATTTCCCTAGAAGAAGTACTCCTTTCAACAAGGAATTAAATAGTGCCTTTGAATTTAATTTGTTTATAGTTTTATGTTTGATAAATTTGACTTATAGGCAAATTTAAAACATAAAGTTTAAAAGTTTATAGTTATTAGCTTATTTTGAAATACGAGTTAAGGTAGCGTTTCAAAATAAGTTATTATTTTAAGCTTAACATGTTTTTATCAAACAGATGTTATTGCACATTTGTAACTCTAAAATAAGCTATACTAAACATAGTCTATGTATTATATAATAAGGTTATTGAAAATAATTAGTTCTTCTTCCGTCGTATTTTATATGTTTGGTTTGATTAACAAAGTTTGACTAAAATTATTTTAAATTTAATTTTTTATAATATTAAGTCTAGTATTAGTATATAAAATTTATATATTTAAAAATTACATTAAAAACACTATTAAACAAAAAAAAAATTTAAATTTAAAGGTAATTAAAAAATGTCAAAGAAACTAAGTAAAGAAGAAAAGAGTTGGCTTGACTGAATATACTCCCAAAATCCTATTTTGTGTATTCAGTTCGGTTAATGAGGCTTGACTGAAGTTATTTTGAATTCAATTTTTTTTTATAACATTATGTTTAATATCAGTATATAAAATTTATACATTTAGAAACTACATTAAAAGTATTATAAAAGACAAAAATAAAAATTAAAAAATTAAAAAAATAAACTAATAAAAAAGAGTTAATAATTTAACTCATAAATAGTAGATAAGACATATAAAATATGACAGGTCCAGTAGTAAATAGAGGAGCACTAGTTAACATTTTGGAGGATACTAAATAAATAAATAATGTTTGTTTTTATTCATTACTAAATAATGTTTTTTTATTTTGTTATTATTATGTGGTCAGGTTATCGAGGATTTGAGCTATGTGGTGTTACTGAGAAAGAAGTTAAGTTACATAGAGAGCATCCCCGGAGTTCTCCTCCCACACCCCTCGTCGGCGGCGTATCCCATGAAGATCGACGGCTACGGGCTCTCGCCGGAAGCATGGCCGCCGCATTTCCAGGCCAACATTGTGGCGGCGCCACCCGCGGAATACTACGACCACTTCAACAACAATAACCAACCGCCGGCGGCGGCGATGATGAAGATAACGCCATCGATGAGCAGCCTGGAGGCCCTTCTCTCCAAGCTGCCCTCCGTCGTGCCGACGGGGCCCTCCATGCCGGCAGTTCCGGGCAACTACTCCGACGTCCCGCCGCAGTACCACCGGGCGCCGGAGATGGTGGCGAAAGAAGAGTACGACGACGACGATGAAGAGAACAACAACAACAACAATGGAAGGAACTATCAGGGTGAGAATAATAAGGATGTTGGGGAGAGTAGCAGTTCCATGTCTTCTTACAGTCATCACCACCACCACCATTATGGGTATCATTATGATCTGAATGTGAGAGAGTTTAATTGAATTCTTGTTTCTTAAGCAGTTAGTACTCTACTGAGAGAGAGAGAGAGAGAGAGAGAGAGAGAGAGAGAGAGAGAGAGAGAGAGATTGTATTAAGATCACCTTCAAAAACTGCTAACAATAATGTAGCTTCTTAGTATTAAGTTGCTTGAATTAGAAGAAGTGTTAGTCTACTCTTTTTGTGAATGTTTAAAGTATATGAGCTTGAATGAAGTGGATAAGTGTTCAATTTATTGTTTCCACCTACTCTAATTCGCATTCTAGTAATTCATGTTCAGTTGCAACCCAAGTTGAATCCATAGTTAATTTGGTAACCATAAAATTCTAAGTTTAATTTTTCATACGAAAACACTCCTCACTCAAAGTGCACATTCGAATAGCGACTATAGATTTTCTTGTAAATCAAAGTAATTCATATTTGACAAGGACCTTGTGATCACCAAGTTGCTCTTCCATATGGAAAAGTTGTGGATTCAAGTTTCAGTAGGTTGAGAAAGTAGTTATAAACAGATACTCTATTGTAATAGAGTAATACTAAAAAAAAAGTAATTCACATTTAGTTCATGGAATTTATAATTTAACCATGAATTGATTAACCTCACTAACTTGTTATCAAATTAAAACCTAACCAGCCAATTAAAAAGTGTCATTTCAGGAAGAGAAATTAGAAGAGATCGAAAAAGGAAAATACTACTTGGACTCTCAAGTTCTACTCCCAACTTTTATTCCCTCACTTAAAATTTTGATTTTGACATTTTCCTTGAAACTCACGGGATAAAGATAACTTATCATCTCTAGGCATATCAAAGGAGTAAAAGTGAAGGAGTAAATTTTGGGAGTCCATATAATATAGAACTCAGAGAAATTTTGGAGGGGTGAGTAATGATATAGTAAATACACTAGGATCTACAAATACGTCTAAGTTTTCGGCAGTGTATGGGCTTGGGTAACTATGATAGTAGGTCAGGGGCTCCTGAGCTGATCTTAAGTTAAATAGAAGCCCCAAAAGTCCCCTTCCACAGGGCATTCGATGTGCTTTATATAGAGAATGGAGGGGCACATGCCTCGCAAGAACTTGGTGAGGTCGGAGGCTATGCTGATACGTCCACGTGCTAGGAAATGCCTGACAAGTTTGAAGGTGATGTGGTCGGGCGTAATTAGTTAACCGTGCATCTCCTTTGGTAAAAAAAGGTTGTGCGATTGAGGTAACCGGTCCGAATACTGAGGTCGGGGGTTCCATCTCAAGCTTAGGGTGGATCACGTAGTGGGTAATCATAAAAGGATGCGCTTAATCACCTGATCAGGTCAGACCGGGTTCAAACGGGGTCTGATGTGGTTGGTAAATGTCCCTTACAGTATACGAAGTATGACCCTAGCAGGTTGAAGTATATATATATAGGGAAGGGATCAGGTGCGGGGAAGGGGTTCCCGTGCGGTTGTGCGAAAGAAGTCACCTTAAGTATTAATTTGGCGCATTTTAAGTACACAACCCACGCACATTAATCACAAAACTCACACACCACGCACCTAAGGTTTTAAAAATGGTTCGTTGTAAGTTTCACATAACTGACGCACATTAAGCATACAAATTACGCACCTTAACAGGGCGTTTGGTTGGAGGGGGGGATAATGTGGGAAAAGGAATTGTAATTCTATGAGAGTTGAATTACTGGGAATAAAGTGGGAATTTAAATTCCAGTGTTTGGTTGACAGGAATAGAATTACTGGGAATTTCGATTCCAATGTTTGGTATACATGGGAATTGAAAGGGAATAAGTAGTATAAAGTCCAAAATGCTCATTGTTGTTGTTAAAAGGAAAGATCAGACATTCATTTTAGGTTAAAAAAGAGAAGGGTAATTTTGTCTCATCAATATTTTTTTTCTTCCGAAAATTCCAGGAATTAAAATACCAGGGGGGACATGGGATTTTAATTTCATGAAAATGGGGGAATTGCAATTCCCTCCAACCAAACTACGGAATTTAATGGCCTTTGGAATTAGGTGGGAATTAAGTGGGAAGGGAATTTAAAATCCCTCCAACCAAACGCCCTGTAAGGAGGAAAACAACGTATATTAAGAAGGAAACTTACGCACCTTAAGTTTCAACAACTACTCACATTAAGCACACATCCGCGCACCTTAAGCACAAAACTCGCGCATCTTAAGTAAAAAACTCACGCACCTTAAGCACAAAACTCACGCACATTAAGTTTCAACAACTACTCACATTAAGTACACAACCCATGCACATTAAGCACAAAACTCACGTACCTTAAGCACAAGACTCACGCACCTTAAGTGCAAAACTCACGCACATTAATCACCGCACAACCGCACGGGTACTTAATTATATATATATATATATATATATATATATATATATATATATATATATATATATATATATATATATATATATATATATATATATATATATAGTGAAAGGTTCCAGTGCGGTTGAATGATTCCCGTGCGGCTGTGCGGTTGATATGATTAATGTGCGTGAGTTTTGTACTCAATGTGCGTGAGTCTTGTGCTTAATGTGCATGAGATTTGTACTTAATGTGCATGAGTCTTGTACGTAAGGTGTGTGAGTGTTGTGCCTAAGGTGCGTGAGTTTTGTGTTTAATGTGCGCGAGTGTGTACTTAATGTGAGTTATTGTATGAGTTGTTGTTGAAACTTTAAAGTGCATGAGTTTTGTGCTTAATGTGTGTGAGTTTTGTGCTTAAGGTGCGTGAGTCTTGTGCTTAAGGTGTGTGAGTTTTGTACTTATTGTGCGTGAGTATATACTTAATGTGAGTTGTTAAAAACTTAAGCCAGACTGAGATGCCTATTAATATCCCTATAAATGAAGAACACACTCACGTACATTAAACACAAAACTCACGCACTTTAGGCACCAGACTCATGCACCATAAGTACAAAACTCACGCACATTAAGCACTACACACTCACGCACATTAAGCACAAACCTCACGCACCTTAAGCACAATACTCACGCACACTAAGTACAAACCTCACGCACATTAATCACCCGCACAACCGCATAGGAAGCTATACCCGCACCTGAACCCTTCCATATATATATATATATATATATATATATATATATATATATATATATATATATATATATATATATATATATATATATATATATATATATATATATATATATATATATATATATATATATGTAAAAGAGCGTTCATGTCGTATCTGTGTCGTTGAATCAGTTTAATCTAACGGCAGTGGCTAACTCTGAGGATTTTCGCAGGTGGGGGTGTTATGGTAATTACAGTGGCCATTTATAGCGGCCGGGTTCCAGAATATACCAACAGTGTTGACAACATGCACCAATAGTGTATTCTCGAACACTGTCTGGTGTATTTATTCATATCTAATGGCGCGTTTTTGGTGATGCGCACTGACCACACGAGAAGGCGTTGCCGCACCTGAACTTGGTACTAATGGGAATCTACAAATACACCAGAGTAAGGCTAATAATGCACCAATTACACAAATAAAACACACAACAATGTGATTTTCCTATTCCGGTGCCTTATGACGAGTTTACCCTTGCAGTTCGCTGGGTAGGAGAATGTGCGCGAAAATACTGGAAGAATCTTGATTAATGAGATTCATTATATTGGATCTATCTAATCTAATGGCCATATGACCACACCTAACAACATGGCCACATGTGATCATCCCTATATATATATATATATATATATATATATATATATATATATATATATATATATATACTCTGGTATATATCCTATCGTGAGTAAATATGTTTATTCAGTCATTTGATAAGCCTTTCTGTTCTCAATACTTTAAACTGGAAGCGCATATATGTAAATAATTGATAAACTAAATTGATTATTTTACACCAGGACTATGTGGTCTAATGGTATCCGGGTTGGACTTTTATTTGGAAGGTTGTAAGTTCGAGCCTCAGTGGAGGCGTTATTAGCTCTCTGTGTTTCAGTAGGTTGAGAAAGTATACGAACAGATACTACAATGTAATATAGAGCTAGTAGCATTCAAAAAAAAAAAAATTGATTATTTTACATTTTAAAAAACTATATTTATATTGCAGTAAAACAATTGAGGACTACATTGATTAAAATTTAAAAATGATTGATTGACTAAATTACATAATAACCAATAATTAAGAGACCAAAAGTGTAATTACCCTTATAAATATCTATATATGTATTATATAATGCAATAACATACAAATTACTACCATTTCACATGTGTTTGCTGTTTGTCCTAGAATAACTTAATTAGGTGACTTATATTTCACCTAATAATGAGCACTTTGTGAAAATAGTAGTTAGTTTAACGAATTTTAAAGCAAAATTTTACCAAATAGCCAAAGTAGATCAATTTTATTGTAATTAATACCACCGGTAAGTTCTAATATGATTATATATATTTATTGGTTTGGGATATAATTAATAAGTAGTAGTTCGTCGCCTAATTTAATGTCACGAAGGCTAGAAAGATGAATGAGAAAAAAGACTCAGAATAATGGAAGGTGTAGATTAAATCCATTATGCGCGCATGAAGACTGAGCTGATTGTGCGACTCGCGATTTACCTTTGCAGTGTCTCTAGTGACAGGGACTGGCTTGTGGACTTGAGATTAGTCTGACGAAGTTGAAATCTAACTATAAACAAAAAAAAAAAAAGTTAAAGACAGGTGTCTTTATTTATTTATTTATTTTATTTTTTTGTGTGGTTGTGGGAGAAGCTAAGGTTAACAATAAAGTTTGCATTCTGAATTGATGAGTAAGTAAAAGTAGCTTTCACCAAGAATCTGTGTGTAGCCTCCCAATTCATGAAATGTGTAACAACAATAACTAAATAAATCAAAATGCATCACAGATAACAGATAATGTCTGTCTGCCCAAAGAGAAAAGAGGTTGTTGGTATAGTATGTATGATCAAACTAAACAAATTAAAGTAATTATATTATGTATCATCACCACAAAAATTATTGCTGTGAATCAAACCAAGTTATTCCTTGCAAAATGATATATTCTTTCTTGAAGGAATTGAAATATCTAAGTGAGAAAAACATGCATGTTTGCTTTCTGTGTTTTTAGGCCATAACAATTTAATTGACCCCTCCACTTTTAAGGGGTGACCACTAACCACTTTAATTGAGTCCCCCATTTCCATATACTGTGCCTGAAATAGTCCTCAACAATACCAGA